CTGCAATGTCTGACTCAGTTAATTTGCTTGCGTCCGTGACTGCAAAGCATTTCTTTTCTGCCAACTGGCAAGCTAGGGGTGTCGAAATACTGGGTAAATTGTGTCGATTGGGTAAATTGGCAGTGGACACGGTTTGACACGGAACACTCGTTTCAAAGTAGAATAACTGGTTGTAGCATTGTTTTTCAGAGAAACAATGTGAACTGAACATGTTTCCTACATATCTGCACATATTTTGATGCTTTAGTACAGTTAAAAAAAATTACATACATCACCTTTAAGACTAACATTAACAATTTAGACTAAAAGAAAGAACTGCTTTTCAGCCCATCCCCAGAGTCTGCCTATCCACTTCAACATAAGTTGTTGACTTGAGAGCAAATGGCCAATGGAAAATGGCTGCATTTACATTTGCTAGCTCAATTTACCACATTTGTGTATTTTGCACAATGTATCCTGTGGCAAGAGTGTGATGGAAGCCTGAGTGGACTTAATCAATCAAGTTTTCACAGGGTGGAGAAACAGACAGAGCCCCCTGGAGAACTGCCACTAGCATTTAGCTTCTGCCACTGTCACTCTCTATGTCAAGGGCAAGTGAAATCATATTAAAATCACATTAAATTTCAATATAGATTTAGACGTTTTAATGTTGGCACGGACAGCTTTTCTAATTTCTTGCCCTTGTTGCTTCCTGTCTTTGAATTATTCACCTCATTTTCGGTCAGCAGTAAATGTTTTCCTTTTATGTACTTTAGACCTCTGCTTGCCAAATCCACCATATGTGTCTCTCTGCTTTCAACTCTGCGACTTGGCAGCTGCGTACAGCTGGCTGGACACTGTGTGTAACATACGAGTTGGTGGCGGTGTGCTGAGAGAGGGTGTTAGGGAAAGAGAGTGAGAGAGAGAGAGAGTGTGTGTGCTGGGCTGCTTGGCAAGGCTGTTTGAGTAAGAAGAGTGAGCTGGTTGTGAGTTTCAGAGTTTCCTGTCCAGCTGTATCATTGGCACGGGCTGAAAGAGAGGGACTCAGTCCCTCGCACAATACAGCACTTGTGTTGCAGTCCGGGAACTCAGGAATGTGGCTCTCACCTTCATATGGCTGACAGGAGTTTGTTTTGGAATGAGAGATATTATCCATCACACTCTTACCGCACTCTCTCGCTCTTTCTCTTTTCCTCACTCACGTCTCTCTCTCTTTCATGGCCGTCCTCAAAGTAAAGAAAAATAAAGTGACTTCAGTCTGAAATCTGAGATCTGACTCCTCCACCTGCAGTAGTTTTTTAAATTCATGGCTTTTTAGTCCCTTCATCCCATTAGCAATTTCACCGAAGCTCTTCCGAGCATTCCCATTCAATTAAACGCTAGGATTTTCTTGAGAACTTTCTAAATCACTTTTGCCATTCATTAAAGGGAGTTTTCGTGGAACACACGGGTGAGAAAATCACAGGGATCAAAATCGTTCTCACTGCAAGACGGATTAAGCAACAGAGACTTACGCTTTCATATGAGAGAAAAAAATGGGGACAAATGTATGCTGGAATTATTTTAGGATTTGATACTGGTGGTTGAGTTTAAACTTTAAAACAAATAAACGTGCTGTTTTTATGAAACACATGCTCCAGATTCTCAGATGCTTTGACTTCTGTACTCTCTATCTTATATTTTTAGAAATTTAGTGCTTAGCTAAAAAAACAGGCACGACTTGTTGTCACCAAGGCTCACAATGCTTTTGGGAAACCCGACCCAGAACACATTAAAAACCACTTACCAATAAGCAACCACATAGCAAAAAACAGCAGATCAGAACACCTTAGCAAGTGCATAGCATTGCAGCTAGCATCACGGCAGTGACTTTCACTCAAGAAAACACCATTTTATATTATGTTCTTTATATGGAAGTAAAAGAGAGAGAGAATGAGTATGAGAGTAAAAAGCCAAATATGCTGAAAGGTATTATGCAGAGATGCAGTAAAGATATTTTGTTAGGTAAAATGTGATTCAATTGGTAACATGAATGAAATATGATTCATATGGAATATGATTCTTATCATTAAATTAACCTGACTACATTAAGTTACACTAACAAAAGTAGTATTTAAAGGTAAGTTCAGGTAGAAATAGCTCCTTAAAGGGATTGTTCACCCAAAAACTACATTTCTGTAATCTATTCTGTAATCTCTTCTGTGGAGCATAAAAGAAGATAGTTTTAATCCCCAGAAGAAGGCATGTAGCCGAAACACGTTGGAGTTTTTTAGATGGTTAATTTGACCAAGTCATAATAATTTGTAACTTTTTCACCTGAGAGTGCCTTGGAGTTCTCTTGTTTGATTCTTGATATTTAGTTTCCCATCCAAAGAGCACCTCTACTTTAACCAAACTTTAAAATCCAGGAAGCGCTCCTCTACCTCTCCTGTTTGCATAAAAGAAGATATTTTGAGAAATGTGTTTTTCTTTTCCATACACAGAAGTCAATGGGACTATAAAGTCCAATAAACACCAGCCTCAGCAAACGACTTCTTTTTTTAAAAGTGGGGAACTATGACGTCAAAGAGGATAAAACACCACCGCCACAGAAGAAGATCAACGTTTACTTCAACACGGACGGTTTAGCCCCGCCCTCCGATTCGCGCATTACACGCATACCTAAATAACATAGATTCCTACCTTGTGATGACAAACCTGATTGTTCTACCGAGCAATACAAAATATTGTGCAGTGCCTGGTTGTGGAAGAAGACAGTCGCTGCATAAGCTTCCTCCGGATTCCAATAGGACTGCATGGATAAACTTTATTTCTAATGATGTTCCAGCTGATGAGGTAAAGCATTGTCCGTCGGTTCGCTTCATTTCACTGAGGATTGTCACTGAGGACTGGATTTGCGGACCGATTAAGAGTAAAGAACGGTGCTGTGCCGTCTATATTGGATCTTACACACAGACTCTGGGTCGAACATGTATGGGCGAATCATTCCGGTTCCCATTTTACAACATTTGACGTTTTAAAACAATTTCCCCCACGTGCACGACGGGTGAGTTGTTGTCCACTCACAGCAGTGGGCGTTTACTTCCAAGTCTTCATTGCGAGACTCCCATAAAAACCGAGCGTTTTTCAGCTAGGCTCAAAACTATAGGGTACAAAATAGCCCAATACTTATTCATTTTGATGTTTTTGAATGCAAAAACCAAGCGAACATCATAAGTTGATCACGTTCATGACCCCTTTAAATATTTTCAGAAATGTCTAAAGCTCGCGTTAATAATTTGCTCTGAATCATTTTAGGTGACATCCCAGATAGCAAACTGACATTGAATCAACGTGGAAATATGACATCGAAACAACGTTGATATGACATTGTTTTGCTCATCGAATTAACGTTGAACCAACGTCAGATGCGTCATTCTTTCAAAACTAACGGAAAATCAACTTGAAATCAACGCGTTGTTTCAACGTTATGAAAGCAAACCAATTTTCGATTTCATTTAGCTTTGAAGAACGCCGCGTCTGACGTTGGTTCAACGTTAATTCGATGAGCAAATCAACGTTGTTTCAATGTCATGAGAGACGTCGTTTCCACGTTGATTCAATGTCAGTTTGCTGTCTGGGATTACGGTGGCTCGGAAGTCTTTGTGAAACCAATTTGCTTAGGAACGTTCATACAAACAACACCGGCTGTTTAGTCACTGACTGTACACATACACAGCCTTTATGTCACTCAAATTCAGTTATTGTAAGCTGTGAAGGTTAAACAGGGTTTTTGTAAGCCGTCTTCCTGTGTGTTCTCTGTCACGATGAGCAATGACGGCTAATGAAAGCCTTCGCTTTGTGAGGAGACTGTGAAAAATGTGAAGAGTCAAACAGAGGCTGATGTATGTTTGAGCTGTCCTGAGCGGGACCCATGGCTGATCACAGGCTCTGGCTCTTCTGTGGCTTTATTTAGTCTTCCATTGGCTTTCAAGTCCCGTTTAATCTCCCCCTCAGTGCCTCTGAAAACAGCACCCGCTCCAGCCTCCTGTTATTGTACAGGCTTTGAATCCAACCCCTTCACTCTTCCTGGCTTTTTATCCTGCATGAGTGACCCCTATAATATTGAACCTTATCACCTGAGTGTCATTATTTATCAGGCGAGTGAATGGGAGGGTTTAGATTACACACAAAGGTGCTTGGAGTATTATCCAATATCGTTGTCAGGCGCTCTTGTAGACTTTAATCAAATACACACACACACACACATACAGACAATATCAGCGCTTTCATGCACTATTTCATTGTTTGCCCTCCACGTACGAAATACAATGACACATAGGTACACAAAGCATGGCTGTTGGTGGCTCTTTGTGATTTGCTGAAGGGTTAATATGGATAGAGAAGATCAGAGACGGCTGAGCTTCAGCAAGCGTGAATGAAAAAGTATGTGGGAGACAACGAAGTCGCTGAAGGATGTGATACCATCATGATGAAAAAGAAAGGGTCATAGGTTTTGGAAATAAACATAGGTCCATCTGCCCCTCTCTTGACAACAATGATAGCCTCTTGCGTTTGTTTGCTAGACCGTGTCTGTCTGTTTGCGCCACCCCTCAACCTTGAAGTATTACTTCAGAGCGATGAACCTTTTGTTACTTCCACAATGTGCAAAAAAAAATGACAGATGCTGACTTTTAGATTGGTTTTTAGCACCTGTTTAGTGGGTCAGAGAGTTTTCCACAGAGTTTTCTCCAGAGGAAGAGAATCAAATATTAGTTTCCTTTGAGGTAGTTTCCAGGGAAACAGAAGTGGGAGGAACCTTGGGCAGGCGTTTTTGTTGTTATGTCTTCAGCTTAAAACAAAATCAGCCAAGGTTTTCTTCTGTGTTGTTTAGAAAAATGTATTATGTTTATTATGTTAATGGTACTTAAGTGGAAATGTCTACTAAGGAAATGACTAAACCTTTGCCATTAAGTTTACTACATGTTAAAATACCTTAAATAAAATTAGTCTGAAATTTCTACTTGTGTTCACCTGCACAGATACTGGTCTCGGGTCAGTCCCCTGCCTCAGCTGATGACCTCTATTTGGATGACCAGCAGTCTGGTGACTACCCTGTAGATGATGATGACTTCAATTCTGGTTCAGGATCTGGTAAGGATTGTTTATATCACTGTTACTGGTTCTAAAACAGTTTATTTTATGACTATTGGTGTTCTGAGGCATATTCAGTCTCAAGAGACCATACTGTGCATCAAACCCCTAACACCAAATGTTCCATTTTGGCACATAACTCCCACACTGTTTGTGAATGATAATCTCTAATCATGTGGCTTGTTGAGGAGAGGTATTGCTACTTTTGCCCCCAAGTGGTCAGGGTTGCATTTCCCAAAAGCATTGTGAGCCTTAGTTGATCCTAGAGATCATTGGTGGTGATCTAGAGGCTAGAATATCAAAGGCATTGTCTCAAATGCAAGCCTAAAGGTGAGGTCACATTTAACATTGCTCAACAAAAATCCAGTCATAGAAAACCACATGATCGGGAGTTTCGAGTGAGGGGGAAAAAGCTCCCAATGCAGATATCACTCATGTTCAAGTTGATCACTTAAGTCACTTAAGCCAACAGAAAGGTTTGAAAGTGACTTCTATGTGAGCTTTATACAAGTCTACACTATTACGCAATGGACAATGGATGTTTTTTTCGCTCAAAATTCCTGTCTCCTTTCTTTCTCCTCCAAATCCACACTGCTTTGGACTTTTGAAACCTACAATGACAAATTGGACACCATTTGGGACTCCGGTCTTGTGGACATCACAGACACTAGCACGAGTCCAACAATGCAAGTCCACACCAAATGTGCCACTTGGAATAGGAGCATAGAAACACATGGACCAGAAAGTAGCTGTAGACAATGTACTTAAAACACTTAAAGGAGTAGTTCACTTTGGTTATAATTTACTCACCCCCATGTCATCCAAGATGTCCACGTCTTTCTTTCTTCAGTCGAAGGTTTTTGATGAAAACATTCCAGGATTTTCTCCATATAATGGACTTCATTGGGAACTAAACGGTCCAAATGAGAGTTTCAGTGCAGCTTCAAAGGGCTTTAAACGACACCAGACGATGAATAAGGGTCTTATCTAGGATCCTTCGAGTCATGACTCGAAAAAAGATTTGTTTATTTTGATGAACGACTTTGAACAGGAGAGTCACAAATGCGCATCACAGAACAGAGCAAGGCGACCATTTGAGCTTATAAAACTTAAACTTTTTCATTTAGTTCTTAAATAACCGATCGTTTCGCTAGATAAGACCCTTATTCATCGTCTGGTGTCGTTTAAAGCCCTTTGATGCTGCAATAAAACTCTCATTTGGACCTTGAACCGTTTGGTTCCCATTAAAGTCCATTATATGGAGAAAATCCTGGAATGTTTCTTTTTGACTGAAGAAAGAAAGATGTGGACATCTTGGATGACATGGGTGTGAGTAAATTATCAGCAAAAGTTTTTTTTTTTTTTTTTTTTTAAAGTGAACTACTCCTTTAAAACCAACTGCATAGAAATGCCCTGGGAACCACCCAAAACACTTGTCTTGTTTGATTTGAGTAAAAAATGGAAAAGTATTGTCTAGGTAGAGTCTTGTAATGTTTATCCTATATAATCGAGTAAAAAAGGCAAAATTACGCTTTTATATCTGCTTTTTTACTTAACATTGGGGCATGTTTAGTACATGTACTAGAAAAAACAATTTAATGATGTATTTACATTTAACCCACAGAGCCTGTGTTGTTGTGGCTAAAGGTTGTCTAAAGTGTTGTTAATAGAAGGTCTACTACTGTACAGTAGGTGGTTGATAGACAATGCTGCCCACCCTTTGAGCGGACAGATGTTTCACCTGCAGTCAAACGCGGTCAGCCAAGACCACCATAGTCACTCAGCAGATGTCCGCTCCATACAAAAATTCTGCATTATTAATAAGTCATTTCTCTACCTCTTACTGCTGGACTGCAGTGCCTTGTACCTGGCACAATTGCAGTGTAAAATGGAGAGAACGGTTGAAATATTTATACACTTTATGCATTTCACCTGTTTCTCTTGGAAACACTTTAAGCAAAAGTGCTGATACTGCATTCCTCTTCTGTATTGTTGTATTTATTAACTAAAAGTCCAAGAAAGTGAGACATTTGGAATGCTCAAAGTAAAGCTCCGGGCATTGGTATGTCATTATAGTCTCATCACACCGTAGGTCAACATTTGCAAAACCTCATATTTTCATAATCATCACGATTTGACCATAGGCAAATAAAATAGAAGGTAATGTTATTAAGGAAATTATATTTTAGACACTATACTCAAACAGTGACTTTATCTGTTTTTGCTCCATCAGTAAAACATTGTTTCAAACTTGCCACAGCAGAATTAACATAAGCGCTCCTTCAAGCTATAGACAGTTGTATTTTCAGTCCTGAATGAAACAGTTGAGTGAATGATTCAGTGACTCACTCATGAACTTATGTTTTGTTTATGAATGAATCAATGTTTTTGAATGAGTTGGTTGAGTGAATGATTCAAATGCCTCACTCATAAAGACAGCCACTTGTTTTGTTCATGAATGAATCAATGTTTTTGAATGAGTTGGTTGAGTGAATGATTCAAATGCCTCACTCATAAAGACAGCCACTTGTTTTGTTCATGAATTAATCAATGGTTTTGAACGAGTTGGTTGAGTGAATGATTCAAATGACTCACTCATAAAGACAGCCACTTGTTTTGTTCATGAATGAATCAATGTTTTTGAATGAGTTGGTTGAGTGAATGATTCAAATGCCTCACTCATAAAGACAGCCACTTGTTTTGTTCATGAATTAATCAATGGTTTTGAACGAGTTGGTTGAGTGAATGATTCAAATGCCTCACTCATAAAGACAGCCACTTGTTTTGTTCATGAATTAATCAATGGTTTTGAATGAGTTGGTTGAGTGAATGTTTCAAATGCCTCACTCATAAAGACAGCCACTTGTTTTGTTCATGAATGAATCAATGTTTTTGAATGAGTTGGTTGAGTGAATGGTTCAAATGCCTCACTCATAAAGACAGCCACTTGTTTTGTTCATTAATGAATCAATGTTTTTGAATGAGTTGGTTGAGTGAATGATTCAAATGCCTCACTCATAAAGACTCGTATTTCTCTACCTGCTGGCATATTATTGTAACAGAAAGAGACAATTAAAAATTCCAGAGGTTTTGGAATGCACAAAAAAAAAACAAGCTGAGTAAAAAACTCAAATTCAAGGATCGCAACAAACTATATTTCATTTGTATATGGAAAACATTCTAATGACTGACTTATTTCATTTCTTTATTTCTCCCTCATTTCTTTAGGTTCTAGTGACACAGATGATGATGAAGACACTTCCACGGTAATTGTGCGGTACCCAGAATTCAATGCGGGGTCTACTCAGGAGCCTGTCTACACCAGCAACCCCAGCTTGGAGTCCTCTGTTTCCAGAAAGTTGGACAAAATCAGCATAGAGACATTCATCGAGTCAGACATGGGACCAGAGGTGCAATTGCTTGCCCATTTCAGTCGTACTGCTTCTGACACTATCAAAGCTTTTGCTGACACTCATTTCTCCGAAAACTTGCACAGCCTGCAAAACTGTGACAACTTATGATACTTTTGATATTGCCTCTCTTTGACGCACACACTGACCTGCTGTCTTTCGCAGTTTTACTGAACACCACTGTTAAGTTGGATCCTTCAATCTTGTTATTGAATCTTTTCCGACACCATCTACAAGCTGAATTGTTTTTTGTGTCAGCAATTTTGATGTTAAGCGGTCTTTCTCTCGCTCCCTCTCTCACTGTTTTTTAGATCTCTGACGATCAGACAGAAAAGGCTCAGGTCACCGTTGAAGCCACCAGCTCACCGAGTATTGAACAAGATGCTGATCTGCTTCATGAGGTTCGCACAGAGAATCTCTTCCAAAGGACAGAAGTGCTGGCAGGTATGTTTAAAATTAACAGCACACAGATAGGTGATTCTTCAATTTCAGTTCCATAATAAAGGGATAGTTCACTTTGAAATTAGTTTTTGATATCAGAAAAAGGAAATCCAAGGCACTCTTCTTTAGAAAATTAAAAAGCCTTTATTGAACTGACTATATCATGATAGAAAAGTTAAAAACATGTGGGGGAAAAAATACAACCCACGCGTAGCGGCACAAACAGCCTTCTTCAGGGTATATTTTTCCCTCTTTTGTAGATGCTAATTGGTTTGGGAACACCTGAATGACAAATAGCCTGCATATACAGAGAAGGTCCACTAGGAGGTGGTTACAAAAAAATAAAAATATTAATATTTTAAAATATTAATGAAAAAAATTCAAATAATAATAATAATAATGAGAAAAAAAATTAAATTAAAAAAATAAAAAATAAAAACAAATAAAAAAGAAAAGGGCTGAAATCTATTTCTATTTAGTTTTTGATATGTTTTAGCTTACCTCAAGGGCATCCAAGATGCAGGTGTCTTTGTTTCCACAGTATTTTCAATTTTGATATTTTTAGGTCAAACCGTTCTTGTCTGTCAGTCATATAATGGAGGTCAATGGGGTCCACCTCAAAGAGCATGCACAGAGAAGTCCAAATTAAACATGATTTAATGACTAAATGTAAGTACACATTGATGGCCTAAGACACGAAACGAGCGGTTTGTGTGAGAAAACGAACAGCATTTATATCGTTTTTACCTCTTGTAACCACAGCCACGTCCAAGTACTCTGAGGGCGAGGGCGAGGGCGCTTCTGTCTGCGCAAGCGCCGTCACTCATTATTTACACAGAGATTTCAGAAGTGTTACCCTTCGCTGTGAATAAATTGCAATGGAAGACGATTTCGATATATATCAACAGACAACGTTGATTTTTTTTTTTTGAAGGCCCGTGCCTTCAGATCACTTGGACGTGGCTGTAGTTACAAGAGGTAAAAACAGTATAAATACTGTTCGTTTTCTCACACAAACCGCTCGTTTCGTGTCTTAGGCCATCAATGTGTACTTACATTTACGAGTCATTAAATCACGTTTAATTTGGACTTCTCTGTGCATGCTCTTTATGCCCATATACCGGCATTATATGACTGACAGACAAGGACGGTTTGACCTAAAAATATCAAAATTGAAAATACTGTGGAAACAAAGACACCTACATCTTGGATGCCGTTGAGTTAAGCTAAAACATATCAAAAACTATCCCTTTAAGACGTTAAAGACAAGTTTTAGACCCCTTTTACACCTATATTTGGTGTCGTCCACTTGTGTTCCAAACAACCAAAATGCATCTCAATACCAGGTGTAAACAGGACCTCTGTGTTCATTTCACTGACATTTTGATTCATTTGATTTGTAGCTGTGAGCCTTTGTTGGAGATGCATGTGTGTGTTAGATATTATATAGGTAATATTATTTTTGTTTGACATGGTGTCATTCTTCTTGGTGCAGCGGTGATAGCCGGCGGAGTGATTGGCTTCCTGTTTGCCATCTTCCTGATCCTCCTTCTGGTGTACCGTATGAGAAAGAAGGATGAGGGGAGCTATGACCTTGGAGAGCGCAAGCCACCCAGCTCAGCCTATCAGAAGGCTCCGAGTAAAGAGTTCTACGCCTGAATGACCAATCATTGCCAACAGTAACATCATTATGACAAGCAACTCCTCTCCAAGAGTAGCATTGGATTGGTAGCACATCGAGGGGATTTTTTTTTTTTTTTTTTTTTTACGGGGAACCTTTACTTATTTAAAAATGTAACAAAAAAAAAAGAGTAATTTTGCTTTACAAACCCAACCGGGGCTTGTATTTTCTTTTGGGATCAAAAATGTCAAAGATTGTTTCTCTATGGTTTTTGAAAACAACTGTTGTCAGTATATGAAAGTAAATCATTTCTCACAGGTTTTTAGTCAGTGACTACTTTGTAACAGTAGAGGTACGTTTTATTAAAGAACAAGACAATTCCAGGGGTGGAAATCCTGGGTTATATCTGATACCTTTAATTTTCCACTGATTATCTCAGTGTGGACTTTATCAGTAATTTAGTTTTCATCTCATCGTTTTCGTAAAGGGTATTTTTCTCCTTCGGCTTGTGCCATTATGTTCTTCAGTCAAACTGAATGTTTGTGTTTTCGTCTGGCCAATATGAAATCATGCAAAGATCACAGCATACTGCAGAATGTTTAAAAGTATTTTGTCATATTTCACAATTCTAATGTAGTCGGTACAGTGTTAAGTCCCTGAAAGTTCACATTCTACTTTGCCTAAAGCTAAGAACACATTCCTCCATTCTTGTACTCCTTCTTTCCCTCTTTTTCTGTCTTTTAGTTTCATCAAAGTCTCCCACAACTCCATTCATACTCATAGCATACTTCAGTATTGCAGTAATTGACTGAAATGATTAAGATTACTGTAACTGTGATATAAGTCTGCATTGCACACAAGCGTATCAAGGTCAAGAACCCCTAACACAACTTTTTGAGATCCAGTTACCCAACACTTGGATGGAAAAAAGGCTCATTAGAATAAGATATGGATTAATAACAAGTGTAATGAGTCCAAGAATGAATCTTCCATGACAAGTTAACATCATTTACCCAGTAAAAGTCTGCAGTTTTACATATTTTTATGCCCCCATTCTTCTCAGTCGACCCATTTGCAATGTTCATTTTTGACAGAAAGCCTAATGAAGGCCATTTTTCTTTATTTCGTAATATTATCTCTCACGCTAAAGCAGCTTTTAAAAAGGATTTCTCTTTTGTTTCTGACTCGAGCATACTCTGCCGAATGTCTCTGACCTTCCAAAGACTCAAACAGTGTTGTTAACAGTGATGATGATTAATAACGTGAATCACATCTGCTCATTTTTACTCTTCTCTTCATGTGCATTTCCAATATGTTTCTTTTAAAGACCTGACTGACCATTTAGAGTCAACGACGTCTCTGTATATGTTAATATACAATAATTTATAGAATATAATTATTTATATACTACATATTATATGTAATATGTTAGTTAAAAAAAATCTATGAAAATGTATATTCACAAATGTTTTAGAAGCCCTTGAAGTGCCTACTGTTCTGCAACAGTTCTACAGGGATTTTAAGGACATTTGTGCATCGGAATGATGTTAAAAGCTGGAACTGGAGAAATGTGATGAGTGGTAATGTCACAGAATTACAGAAACAGTATTGTATTTCATAAAAAAACACTACTGAATAAACATTTTCTCATGGTATTTTAATTACGCTTCTTGCGCATCAAACTCAAATCACCTTGCACCTCTCTTTGGTGATTATTCCCAACTGTTCAATCACTGACTGTGTGTATGAATATGTGCATGATGAATCAATATGCATGCCAAGTGTCTCTCAGCTCTCTTTGGACCATGAAACACAAGCTGTGGGGGAAATGTAACACCTCTGAAGAAGACTGCTCAGGGAGTTGTCCCTAGATGTTAAAGCTCTGACAGGAAAGTGTACTAGACTAGGCTGTTTTATTCCAAAAGAATCTCACACTTACTTGTCACAACACATTTCCACACCTATTCTAGAAAATTTATGCAGAAGCATGAGCTGAACATATGATCATATGCATAGCTGAACAAGCCCTTCATTTTCAAGTTGACATTTATTATTCATACTTTTTTGTTGTTGTTATTTAGCGTTTTAGTGTTGCTTGTTGCTCAGACATAACATCAAATATGTGTTGCCAGGCTAATATAGGCCTCTAGGCTATTATGGACACATTCCCTCTTAATCTTACCAAAAAAAAAAGCTTATTCAAGTGTGCTATTAGTATCTTTTAAACTAAAAACTTTATATGCTCTCAGAAATACACTTAAATTTGCACGCACTTGACTTATACTGACAGAAAAGTCTTAAGTATATTTGGTTTATATTTGAATATATATATATACTTAAAAGTATGATTAAGTACACTGTAAACAAATTTTGTTGGTTTAACTTAAAAAATGAAGTAACCTGTTGCCTTAAAATTTTAAGTTCATTGAACTGGAAAAATTGAGTTAATACAATGAAGGAGATTGATTTAAGCATCAGAAACTCAAAATATTATGTTATCTGAACTATATAATTTATTTAAGTTGATTTGACAAATGAAAGAAATGTGAATACAAATCATGAAAATATTTTTTTAAGTGCAAGTCTACTTGGCTTGTAGTTGGGTTTTCTCTTTTGATTGAGAAGCCTATTAAATGCTCATTTAACGCTCAGTTTTACATACATTTCTCATTTTCATTATAAACTTATATTGTTTGAAAATATTGATTAATAAAGAAAACTTACAAGAATACTTGCAGTAGCTATAAAACTACTAAACTAGTAGTTTAATGAGAATATAATTCAAAGTGTACTTTCATAAACTAAAAAAAGTCTTGTTGTATAGTACAAACAAAAACATAGTTGTAAACTAGTGTACTAAGTAGTACTGTTAAATACAGAAGTACACTTGTCATGTATGGTGGTGCTGAAAAGAGCGGACCCTGGACCCTGGACCCTGGACCCTGGACCCTGGACCCTGGACCCTGGACCCTGGACCCTGGACCCTGGACCCTGGACCCTGGACCCTGGACCCAAACACGGTGTACATACAACAATGAACCAGACTGCAAACACAAGGAGAATAAATAGGGAGAGCAAACAAAGCAAGTAAAGAGGAACAGGTGGGGCAAATGAATCAATAATCAGTAACAAGGTGGGAGGGGCTAAACAATCGACAGGAGAGCACATGGCACAAGGAAAAACATGACTAGAACACAAGCATGTGGTCAGTAAAATAAATCACCAGCCAAACACAAAACGAGACATGAACACGCAACTAATGAGAACATTCATAAGAAGACACGTGTTCACACAAAACATGACAACATGAAAGCACACAGCTAATGTAAAACAAGCTGTGTGCTACACAGCACAAGACAAAGCATGACATGAAAGCACATTAAACAAGGCACAGACAAGACAAAACAGGAGTGTCAGGGCTCTGTCACAAAACCAAGAAAAAGACTAGACAGAAGGGACTGACAATACTTTTTTACACAAAAAATGAAACAGTAAACTTACAAGTATACTTCTAGTAAATTGATACATAAAAAAATACTGTTATATAAAGTATACTTAAAATATACTAGAACATTACATAAGCCTAAAATTAACTTGAAGTATACTTATTTTTTTTGTAAGGGTATATGTCGAAATTTCAAGGCTTTGTTATATTCTTGTCATCTCACATTCAGTTATGAATGTCAAAATGAATCGAAAACAAAAACAACCTCGTTGTTGAATATTAGCTAGCTACTTAGTTGCATCTTGTCTTGATTACATCTTATCACAGACAGCAACATTGTGTTGGCCAAGATCCGGTGTTCTGCCAATGGGCTATATGCACGCATAAGTTCCGCATTTGACGCAAGGATGCTCGTCCATTTCCGGTTGTGGAGATTAAAGCGGAGGAAAACCGAGGAAAACGGGATTATGGCAGAATCTTCAAAATTTACTGTCCTCCCGTCTTTGAAACGAAACGTTCATACGTTTAGATGTAATTTTATATATAGTTATGTTTATTTAATATAATTTTAAAAAGAAGCATAAACACAACGAGGGGTGTCTGTTTTATCTGTTTTTGTGACTAACGTTTCTTTATTATAACCATGGAGTATAAAATTCAATATAAATTCTCGGTATTGCATTGGACTCTATGATCGGCGGAAGTTATCGAGCATCCTTACACCTTCACCAGAAATACCGTGCATAGAGCCCATTTTTGCCGAAAAATGCTACCGTAGCACGAATTGATCACAGAATGCCGATTAAAGTTGTATGAAATACAATTATAATATTATAATTATATTAACATATTAACAATTATAATATAATATAATATATTTTATTTTTAAAATGGTGTGAAAAGTAAAAATTATCATAAAATATTCATCTTTGACTTGTCAAAGCACCTTTCCTCATAGTAACTGAAATTTTCAGTTATTCCTTTTCAGCTGGCTCACTGTACAAATATTCATATGATAGTAAGCATTTTTAAAAGGGAAATTATACATTATAACAGGAAAATGTACCTTTTTCTAATAAAAAAAAAAAAAAACGGAGTCTGCACATGCGCATAACCGGTAAGTAGCAAATCTCGATGGGTAGCATGAATTGTCAGAACACTGGCCCACATCTGCTAGGCTACACATGGAATCCACTATTGTTGTTGTCTGGGATCTCATCTATTCAGAATGGAATTCATTCTGAGTTTCACGCCATGCTGGAATTATTGAGATGACAACACGTTACATTATACTCGGAGCTGATCAGAATCAGAATGAGCTTTATTGCAAAGTATGTTTAGGAATTTGTCTTGGTGACAGATGCAATAAAAAAATTTAATCAACAAATTTTATACAATTTTATACAAAAAACAAAACTAGACAATACACAAAATAGACAACAGACAATATATGTAGGCCTATGTACAGATATGTTATACAAATGCAAGGAGTGTAAATAAGTGGTAGGCCTATGGTGTGATAAATAAATATAACTATAAATAGTGTTCTGTATTGCACATGTTTATTGCACGGTGAGGGCAAAAACTGTTTAGGAAGGGTAGGCCTATGGCCTGAGGAAAGAAACGTTTCTTGTGCCTGGCTGTTCTGGTGCTCAGTGCTCTGCAGTTCAAAGAGGAAGTGCGGAACCAGTTCAAAGAGGAAATGGCCTGGATATAAGGAGCCAGAATGATTAATCTTCGGAGGCTGGGAATGAATCCGAAGCGGCAGGTCGTACAGAGGTCACGTGGTACAAGGAGATCTCAGAAAATTGCCGAATGAATGTAAAATGTTTTTCACAAAACTTGAAATTGCAGTAGTCAGCGCGAAGACACACACACACACACACACACACACACACACAGACGGAAATAGCACCTTTACAATTTATAAATAGCCTAATTTACTTTGTTCCTTAGGCCTACACCGTGTCTGTTTTCTTTGGTTAGCCAGAAGTAAAATAAAATAAAATGATATTCAGGGGACTAAACGCAAAAGTCCCATAAACGTCCCGAATGGCCGCCCGCTGGTGGTCCTGGGAACATCCCGTCCTCTTGAACGTCTGGAGGACGTCTTCGCGGAAGCGAAGGTCCGCGAGACATCAAGCCGCATCAAGCGGACACCGCGTGGGGACGTTCGCACAGGCCATTTAGGGGACGTTCTGTGGACCTTTTTTTTTTGTTAGCTGGGTGTATGTGTGCGGTTTCTGAGCATGTATACATCTTCTTTTGGCTGTTTGGCCATCTCAATCATTTTGACATAAGAGCAATAGATGACAACAATACTAATAATAATTATAGATAAATGTTTTTTTTTTATGTTTTCATAATAAACGTTTACTTGCTCTACATACCTCATCCATAAATTTAGAATTAGATTTTTTTTTTATATATATAAATGGTAAATGGTCTTCGAATTGCTTCATAAAACGACAACGGTTTGGGAATGTTGTTTTGAAACGCGTTTTGTGTGTTTGTTCCAGGGCGCTTGCCGTAACCACATGAGCGCCCAATGTTTTGGTTTTTCAAGGAATGTACAGTTGTGAAACCATGCCGGTAAATGTATACATTTTACTTTTAATACGTAGTTATTAAAATTATGCATACACTTATTGTAATGCTTTTCCCCTAAAACCCAGAATAAGCCGTTACGTTTCTATTTTTTGTGCAAATAATATCAAGCAGTTTGTTGTATTTTTATTATGTAGCCATCTATAACGTATGTGATTATTATTGTTACTGTGCCATTCTAACATAAATGGCGTTGCCATTAAATGTTGCTTAAATGTTTTTGCTTAAATGTATGTTTTCATATCAGAAACGACTATGAAAAAAGTTGCAACCAGTTCCAGGAAACTATTTATTGAATATAACCAGTTGAACTGTATCTGACACAAATTATTTAAAGCCTCATTTAACTTATTTCATTTTACAGAGTAAATGGCAAATATGACTGACTTGTTCTTTATCTCTCATGTGCTTTTCAGATGACTGGCAATAAAAGCAGGGGTCATAACTCCACCAGTCAGGTGCTGCGGACTCTTCTTATCCTCTGCTGTCTTCTACAGTGTCACTCTAGGCCTCACAGTTATGACAGTAAACCCCTTTCTGAAATATCCAGAGAGGTTTCTAAGTACTCTGACATTGCTCAACAAATCATAAACCTGGCAGTATATGGAA